GTTATGTAATAATGTGGGCCTATTCAAACTTACCCTATTTGCTGTGGGAATTAGTGTTAACAATTAAGAAGTTATCAATTAGCTTTAACAGAACGCCGTAGATCCAAAAATTCTATGACTTTTCCAAAACTTTCATTGAATTTACAAATGACATTTTGAATACATGCATCACAAATTTCAGACTTCCTGTCATTGCGCAATTCATACTGGGAAGGATTTTCTGAAACAGTGAACATCAAACTGCCATGTTTGATTTCCCAGTGGGATGCGTCTATTGACAAAGCCGATCTTTTCAAGTCTTTTGAACCAAATCACTTTGTTTCTGGTTCTGATATTGTCATATTGTGGAGCGCCATCAAAGCAGAATCCTGCTGGTTAAGAGATGCAGAAGACAAACAGACTGAGCTGCACTTTCTTGTTCTTGTGGTTTTACAGCAACATCACGTCTTGGTCTCTTTGCAGTGGAAGTTGTTTCTTGGCGAACAGCTGGTGCATTTTGCTTTGGCGTTGACTTTTTAAATTCGTAACCAAGGTTGAGTGAGGGATCGGGATTTTGCTTTGATGGCTCCACATACAAAATGTTCACTTCAAACTCAGGATGATTTCTTAGGCAGCCAAAGGTTTCCTTTTTCGTCCTTCCCATGGATCAATCCTGCCCATCGCCTTCACTTTTCACTATTTTTCAATTCCGTTGGGAAGGGAAACAATTTGAACAGAGGTTTGCAGTCACACATCTGATTCCCTTTTGCATTCATGGAGTTCGCAAAACAAATTTCTCAAGCCGTTTTCCGCTGTTAGGATCCAACAACCACACAATTATCGATGTCCGAATCCCAAAACTAAAATATGACAATGTCAGAATCAGAAACAAAATCGATATGGTTCAAAAGACTAGAAAAGATCGGCTTTGTCAATAGACGCATCCCACTGGGAAAACAAACATGGCGGTTTGATGCTCACTTTTTCAGAAAATCCTCCCCAGTATGAATTGCGCAATGACAGGAAGTCTGAAATTTGTGATGCATCTATTTCCATGACTTTTCCAGGATTTCCATGAGCGTGGGAACCCTGCTGTAAAGATATATTGCGCTCCAAAATGTGTGATTGTGACGGGCCTATGCAGTAGTGTTTGTGTTGTGTTTTTTGTTGTGTATTTTCGTGTTTCGTAGTCCAACCGTGTCAGTTCATAATTCACAACGACTTTGCCGGTAACAGTTCGCAGGAGTTATGGAAACATGGCTAAAGATGAACGTCCTTTGTAAAAATACTGTTGGGTGAAATGGTGCGTTTGAGGACCTCGGTGTATTTTGGTAGTCGTGTAAAACACACTCACACACGTCAAAAGGATTATATACAAAGTGGAGATAGTTCGTATTTACACATTTACAACAAACACGTGATTCCACTGTGGGCGGGGCCTAATATAGGCTGATTCAGTAAAAGACTACGTACTACTTCCCTCCATGACGGCAACCTGCTTCGTCTCCAGGGCAACAGGGGTCACTGCGGACCCCGGGAGCGTGGGGGGGGATGCGGAGGACGGGGGTGGACGTAAGAGAAGTGACCCCCCCCCGTACAGCAGAGGCACAGTGAACCAGGGAATTCATTTAAAAACTAAACCAAAACAGTGACTTTAAAGGCGCTGTACCTCATTTTTACCGTCTTAAAACACGAAAAGTAGAATTAGTTTTGCGGCGGTCCAAACAAATCCCAAATACATCCTGATGATTCGCCGCAATAAATTTCTAAACTCTTTTCACAACTTTCAAAAGGTGGAGTTCTGCCGTCACTGTAATGCTTTATGTTTATTTTTGACTATATTTTATTTCATTGTCACGTTTAGGGTTAGGTTCAGGAACAGTTGGGTTAAATTTAGGACTTGAATGATAAAATAATCAATACAGACAGCACACAGCGGTCACATTTTGACCCTAAAATGTGCTTTTGTAAAATATCTGTTCAGGGGCAAAACAAATTTTACTTTCTTGGAAATAAAAAAAGAAATAATAATAATAGGCTCTTTTCACGCTTTCGTCACAAACCAGGAAGACGTTTGGAAACATGCGATGACAACTTCTGGTGTAGTTCCTGACACTGATAATGATAATACTGGCAATGATAAGGCCACACTTTCTTTACTGCGTAACAAGTTGGTCACAGGCTTGTAAATCAGCCCTGAGGCCTCGAGAATCAGGATATAAAATCCCACAACAAGAAAAGTCGGCTATTCCACCACTGTCATATTCTTGTAAAACACCGCATTTTAAGTTTTGAAATCCTGATAATGTATGCCAGGCGTGTCCAAACTATGGCCCGGGAGCCAAATGCGGCCCTCAGACAAATTTTTCTTGGCCCTCAGAGTTCCAGGTGAATTGGCTCAATTAAAAATAATATTTTTTACTGCAAGTTTTTTGAAAATCTACCTTGATAAAGCTAATATTTAATGTTTAGTGTGTGGTTTTAAGGATCGTAGCATGACTCAAGTCTGATGGGTCATTCTTATGTGTTAAACATGCAGATATTTCAATTATTCCCTGTATTGAGCACCAGTCTACAGGCCTCGATCGGCCCTCTGCTTCATCTGTGTTTAGAGATGTGGCCCTTGATGAAAAAAGTTTGGACACCCCTGATGTATGCAAATGTTTGTCTGCTGTTTAAGTTCATTCATGATTCTGCTGCTCCTCCACTCGATTGCTTCTGCCTTGGCATCTTGGATCTTTGCTCCAAACTTTTTTCACTGCGAATTTTACACTTTGAATTTTGAAGTTGGTGTTTTGTTTTGTTTTTTTCATACTGACTTTTAAACACTCTGAAAATGTACACTTACATTTTCATCAACGCCCGTCAGCCCTTCAGAATAAAAATAATTCAAACATGTTTTTTCAGTGTTAAAAATTCAAAAGGGATTTAAAAAAAAAAAAAATGGAACAAATGATCTTCCATAACTGAGGTTTGGTTGTAATTATTGATTAGAAGAACATAACAAAACGCTACAATGACATGGAGATGAAGAAAACTGGGACATTTTCTCTTTTTTTTTCTAGATTTTGTCCAACTTTCTACCACGAAAAGAGCCCGCCGGAGGTTTTCATCGCATGTTTCCAAACATCTTCCTGGTTTGTGACGTAAAGCAAAGCCTATAATAAAAATAAAAATAATAATATTGGGTGCAGCTCCTTTAATGTTTGTTTACATATGAGTATTCTAATTATTTATGTCTTGTTTGCACAACGAAAATTGGTCTAACATTAATTTATAGCCTCCCATTGTGTTTCTATTATAAACAAGTTAATATTTTGAGGTTCAACACTGCCCTCTGGTGTCATCTGTGTGCACTTACATCAGCTCTAAACTACACTTCTATACTTCAACTGTAGAAAATATTATTGCCTTTTAAGTCTTGTTTTTCCGTGCGGGTGGTGCGGTGCTCACTGACAGTGCCGTAGGTGGAACATAAAGTACATTTGATCGCGTTAGAGTCTCTGTAGTCTCTCGTCGGTCAGTGCAGGTGTCTGTGCTGGGGTCAGAGGAAGCAGAGATAATGCTCAAACAACTGGGATCATTGGCAGTAATAAAACGAGAGCCTTGAAGCTGTTGTGGAAAGGCAAATCGGCGTCGGCCTGTCTCAAATTTTGACTTCTAATCGCAGAAGTAGGCTCGCAATCCATGAATTGTTCTCAAAATAGCGTCCATAACTAGAAAATGCCAAGTGAATCAAGAATGCTGTTTATTACATCACTGAGGCTTCCATATTACTGCTATGATTGAAGATAAATATTAATATCTCATCTGTAAGAGCAAATACAATGTAGATCGAGGCTCACCAACTCTAGTTTTATTTAATAGTAGGGTGACCAGACCCAGACGTCCATATTTACCCGGGACAGTCCAAGTTTTGAGTCCTGTGTCTCCTTTCCCAGTAGCCAGGCTGGTGCCACCGAGTGCCTCCGCTCAATTTTATTTCTCTCCAGCGACTAAGTCAGGAATCGGAATACACTAGACAGTTCGTGAAAACCCCAGAAGTGCGAGTTCGGGCACCAGCAAATCAGCGAAGAGTCATATATTCTGTGTTGGCATGGAATTAAAGCTGGTATAAAGAGAATGTTTGGTGAATTTCATCGAGGCGAAAGACGTTATTGTCCTTCTACCTACGGGATTTGGCGCATTACATACGTCACGACCAAATAGCAGCGATTGGTTAAATTTAAAAAAGTATCTACCGTCGAGTGAATGAAGTCTAATGCTGCGAGGTCAGACGGTTTCCACAAAGTGAAACCGGCTGATGAATCAGGCTACTGTCCCAGCAGATTTATCCAAAACCATTGAATTGTCCCAGTTTTATACAAGAAATATCCCAGGTGTGCCTATTTTTGACCAATTTGACACCTGCCAACAGTAAAGAGAGGCATAAATTGTCATTTGTTTAGGTAAAATACAGAAAATGACAAAGAAAATGTGACTATACTGACTCAGATGTTCGTCATGAATGGTCTCTACAAAACAGTTTTCCTTAATTACAGCCAATTTTATTATTACCAACCACCAAAAAATGGGGATCTCAGTCTTTTATTTTGAAAATCTGGTCACCCTACTCTATAGACTGAGCTAAATTCAATAGTTAAAGTAGAAAAGTAAAAGTACTGTATATTAATTTGACACTTTGATAGTTCTAAAAATTGTTTTACCCTTAAAGTACATTTTTTAGAGGAGTACTTCAGTCTTCTACTTAAGTATCTGTACTTTTACTCGACTAAACTGAATACTTCATCGACCACTGGATAAATCTGATCAGCTTTTCTCAGAGCGAAAGAGCGAGCGACACGTAACTGCGGCTCGCCAAGCTTTAACCTTCTGATCTTTCAAACATCGTCACACCAGCTTCTTCAACTATTCGTCCACTTATTACTGTCAATGATCCCGTTTCCCAAGTTGCCGCGGACAGAGCACCCAGGGGCGGGGCGATGGTCGGAGGGCGCCGTGGAGGAGTGAGGTCAGTGTCCGACACAGAGAGAAGGGGGCGGGTGGAGAGGAGGAAGGCAGAGTGGAGTCCCTGTGCTCTTAGCAGGGCTGAGCTAACACGAGCCAGCCCCTTCAGCGTGGCCGCGGCGGGCATCAGCTGCTCAGGTAGCTCTGCAGCTCTCTGGAGGTGATGCTCAGGACCACGCCAGAATGGTTTCCTGCTGGAGACGAGAGGACAGGGCGTGAATAAAAACTCATGTGAAGAGAAGAGAAGATAAGAGAGATTTTCACATTGTAGAGAGTGATTCTGTCACACTCGCAGATGGGGGCAAGAGTGACATTTCCCTATAGATTATGTTGGACGAAACCATGAAATAAAGCAGAAAATGTTTAATCTGATCTTTTCTAGCAGGAATTCAACTCTTCACTTTCATGTATCATAAAAAAACAAAACAAACCAATTGTATTTTAACAATATTTATATCTGTATTAGGCTAAATTTGATTGTGCTATAGAATATTGTGATGGATTTTGAGTCCCAGCTGTGAGGTGTGTGTTTCCCATTTGCGGTTCAGTGTCGTAAAAACTACAGAATGTCGTAAAAACATTATGTAGTTGTGTCATAAAAACTACACAATTTAGGAAGAGGCTTAAATCAGTCATATTTTTTACTGGACATGGATGCATTTACATGGCCAGTAAAATCATATTAAGCATAAATGAATTTTGAAACTTTAAATCTAACAAAATGTGCTTGTTCAGAAAGAAAGCAGAGAACTTATATAACAGTTTATGTGACATTTCAATGATCTGGTAACTCCACAAATGTTGTACATCTAACACAGAGTTTAGGAACCTTGATCCACTAATATTCTTTACTGACAGTGTGACAGGTGTAAAAAATTTAAGTTTTGTACCATGGTCATTAGGGCGCATCATTTGCGAAACTTTTTGAAACATTTTATCAATATTTTACACTTGTCAAAGTAAACTTCCGTGTGAAATTTCATGAAATACTATTGATGTTTACTGGGTCCACCAAGCTTCTGAAGTTTAGTGCCTGTGGAAGCCTTAAATCTGAGCTGAAAAATCTGTGTTTCTTTAATAACGTCCTTAACCTTTCTGGAAACTTGGGTTTACCAAACCCTGAGCCGTACCTGTCACTGAGACACTGTCAGTCTATGATCACTACAAAAAGAACAAACTTTATGTCTCTCATTTCAGCTTTGGCCTTTGTGGATATTGGATAATTATGAAAAAAAATACAAAATCTTGATAAAATTGTCATATCTTAGAAACTTATAGAGATAGAGATATAAACTGATTTTTCTGCCAGAGCCTTGTGGACACGGTTAGGATAGAACTTAAGAGTCTTGATGGACCCAGTAGATTGTATTCAATTCAGCTAATATTCCACAAATTTTCATTTATTTGGAATTATCACATTTTAAAATTGGGTACAAGTTGAATTTCTGACATCGGGACAAATGATGCAGCCTAACGGTCATCCATCTGTAAGCTCTGTACCCAACAGTAGACAGATACGTCCACTAAAGGACAGTTGGTGTAACCATTTCACTCCCATTCTTCCCCTATGACATTTTTGCAGAGTTGTGCTAAAGTCAGTACATCCTGAAGATCAATAAATCCTGAAGTTGAGGCCGTGGACATTGAGCTGTTGGTGGATGTCAGTGAAAAAATGCATAGGAATAGAACAGGAGCAGAAAGGGTGGAGCAGACTCGCCGTCCCGTTGTGCACAGAGCCTATTCAAATCCATCTGACTGAGCAAAAGGGAAACACTGATGTGGGCGTGTGAACTTCTACCTACGACAGTGTCCATGCAGAAGAAAGTTTAACATTTCAAAACATAAAATTATATCAAAATATCTGATTGGTGATGAAGTCTGTATCTGAACATGCTCATACCCGTGCATCAGGCTCTTCATGCCTCATGTCATGCTTCATGGTGTAAAAGAAAAAAAAAAGTGACTCTAAATCATGTCATAATAATGCATCATATTATAGTTTTCAAACATTGTACATTTGGTTTGGAGGTGGTTGGCCTGGACACAAACTTCGAATAACTCTGCTGTCTGCTCCAGGAAAAATGCCAATGTTGTTTTTCTAACTTTATCCGTAAATTTGAAGCAACAAATGAGTTGTTCACATGACATACACAACCGGTCGAAAGTTTTAAAACACCCTAATTTTTCCAGTTATTTATTGAAATTCAAGTCCAATGAAGAGCTTGGAATGGTACAAAGGTAAAAACTGAACAGACAGAGGTTTAAAAAAAAGATAAAAGTCCAAGCTCTGCCAAAACTACCTCAAGAAAAAGAACAAGATGGTAAAACTTGAAAACATGGAGTGTCCAGCACAGTCTCCAGACTTAAACCCCATGGAGCTGGTTTGGGATGAACTGGACAGAAGAGCGAAAGCCAAACAACCTACAAGTGTCGCACATTTATGGGAACTTCTGCAACAGACTTGGGAAGAAATTTCAGAAGAATATTTGATTTCTGTTGTAAAAAGAACGAGCCACGAGTGTGTTCAGCTGTTATATCTGCTAAAGGTGGACACTTTCATCAATCAAAAGTTTAAAATAGTAAAAAACTGGAAAAAGTGTGGTGTTCTAAACCTTTTGAGCGGTCGTGTGGTAACTATGACATGACATAATCCCGTCTGCGTGCATGGGCGTACTCAACAGAAAGTGGACGGCGTAGAGTGAAAGAACAGATCAAACCTCCGGTACCTTGCGTGAGTGGGCTGCTGGTGTGAGGGGGCGGGGCCTAGTAGCAGTGGTTAGTGGTGGTAGTCCTTATAAGGGAGCGGAAGGCGGGGCTTCCTCCTGCGTTACCTAGCGTGTGAGAGTCCAGGTCGTCGTCGATAAACTCCTCCCCCTGGATGATGTGCTGCGTGTCCTCGCTGTGGTTCACCGGGCTGGTCATCTCCTGCTCCTTCTCGTTGTGCATCTGCGCGTACACGTTTCTGTTCACGGGGAGCTTCCTGAAAAACAGCGGGGGATAGGAGTCCTCAGTCCGGAGGAGCCAAGGACTGTGGGATTTGTAGTTTTTGTAAGACGGAGGTTGTAGTTTTTGTACATGTTTTAAATTAGAGTGACTTTTGTGTGTTCGGGACAGGCACTGTGCTTTTGGTGAAGTGTATTTGTGAACAGCATGCAGTTACGTGACCACTGAATATTAAAACTAAAAAGTGCAGAAAAACAACAAAAAAACGGCAACACTTTATAATTAAACTACACCTTAACAGCGATTAAGAATGATTCAGGCTCAGTAACTCCCAACACTAATGTCTTAAAGTCCTTGTACCTGATTATTTTCCTCATGTATTTGAACAAAATTGTCTCATCCCAGTTCAGATATATTGTATAAGCAGCTCTCAAGATCAAAATACGTCCACTGTGTGCTGTCAGCAGCTAATTATAAAGCATTTTATTGTCATTATTGACGTTTGCATGCTAGTTGTTGTTAGGTTTTCACGGCAAAACTCTGCTCTGGTCTCTGAGAGTTGTGAAAAACACTTATAAACTTAATTAAAATGTCCACAATGCATAAGGTACCGTATTTTTTGGACTATTTGTTGTACTTTTTTTCATGTTTTAGGTGGTCCTGAGATTTATAGATTAAAATTTTCACACTGACAGCCTCAAGAGGGCGCTCTAGTCTTGTGTGTCAGTATCTGCTGCTCCTGTTCCTCCTGTACCACTGTCACTTGGCTCTACTGCGCATGTCTCCTGCAGAAAGAGCCTCTGTCCTGTCTGTATCATGTCAGTCGATCGCACTATTACTTCTGCACCACTGAAAATTTAAAATTTAAACAAACTTATAAAGACGACTGAGAAAACTGAACACACATGCCCCCAAAAAGAAAATCATATTTTGCAGATTACAAGCTGCAAGTAGCAAAATATTCAGCCGAAAACTACCGTTGAGCAGCAAAAAGAAAGTTTGGAGTGAGTGAGAAACTTGTAATACCGGGAGGGTGCACCAGGAAACTTTGCTGGAAGTCACTGGATGGATCGACAAAGCCTGAACTTGAACCGAAACATCCTGTCGGGATTCAGAAAGGCCGGAATAATTCTAATTTAGAGTGACCAAATGTCCGTTTTTCCCTTGACATGTCAGTTTTTTTGTGTCCTGTCCTGGGCGTCCGTTTTTTTTTTTTCATAAAGTGACGCAAATGTCTGTGTTTTCATGATCTTTCATTAAATTGCCATTAAACTGAGCTGCTCTCCTAGCTCTCTCTATCTCAGAATGAACGAGCAGACACAAACAGTCGTCAGTCTGCAACATGCCAAAGTGAAAATGTGCATTTAACGATGACTTGTACAAGACATTCTAAATTTTTTTGTCCCGGTCGAGACAAGTGGGAGGTCATGTGCACAGGTTGCGAGGTGAGAGTAGCTCAATGTCGAGGCCCCACCCACTACTCCCGGTAAGGTGTCCAGGTTTTCACAAACGGAAATATGGTCACCGTATTCTAACTGGAACTGTTTATGCTCTGGTTATCTGAAGAACTGTTCATATGTGACGTTAACAGTCTGTTGTTTTCTCTTCAGTCTGTCATTTCTTGGTCTCTGATTTGATAAAATACAGTTCACCCCAAAAGTGCGACTTATAGTCCGAAAAATACGGTAAATGAGGAATAACTTTGGACCACAAATGTTTAAAAGGAACTAGTTTTTTTCTTCGCATTTTTAGAGCGTCTTTAATGAAGAAGTGACTAAGCCTGAATCAATCTTAACAAAGCTTGTTTCATTATGATTCAAAACATTCTTCGTGCTTAATCAGGCTGTAAAAATATCACATTTTGCATGCTTCATTTATTAATACATACAGAACAATATATTACGTCTATGTTTGTTAATGTGCTGAGAATTGTTAGTCCCTAAAAGTGGCAAACATTCATAATCTGTTTGCTTGTAGGACTTATCATATGCATATCTCTACGACGATTCTCATGCTCTTTATTCTAAGCGAAATCTTTAAGTATTCTTACCTTTTAAACTTGTAAAGGATGAAAGAGCCAGTGGCAATGATGGTGATGAGGAATAAGACTCCTACTGCCCATACGCCCGGACCTCCAGCGGCGCCATGGTAGCCTAATTTAACAAAACATAATTTTACCCGCTGGAAAACTCACGTAAAATATTGTTACTGATTAAATACGTCAAATCCAAGTAAGGAAAACTAGGGAATAAAAGCTGAAGACGTCCATGCGGTTAGTATTTCTGAAAAACACAGCAATCTCACCCAGATAACATTTAAAAAGAGATTTAAAAAGTTTGAGGTTATCCGCACGCAAACGTCACAACTGACAACGCACCATGGTCTGCTGGAGCTGCTGTAGTTTCATTACCACTATTCCCTACACCTTCAAAATAAAACCAGTCATAAACATGCAGTCGTCAATATTTCAAAATAAAAGTGTGTGTATGAGTGAATTACATAAGGAAAGGAAAATGTAGTGAGAAAACTGTACCTGCGTTCGGGTCTGCGAGCATCACCAGGACCTGCTGCCCTCCTCGCACAACAAAACTCACATTGTTGTCGTTGAACGCTTGGATTATGGCCGGTATCCGCTAAAGACAGAAGGTTATTTCAGTTTAAGACGCGATCTGTAAGTAGGAATGAGGAATAAAATGAAATGAGAGGTATTATTGAAGGTACCTTGTCGACAAATCTGCTCCTCTTGTCCAGCTGCTCGTCCAGAGGCAGCACGTACAGGTCTGCAGAAGTGGGGAGACCGGGCTTCACCACAGTAACCAGGGAGTCTTGGGGAACACCTGTGATCTGTACATAAACACAATACTGTATCATAAACTTTAAGAGGACATATTAAGCTAAAATGTATGATCTTCTGGGAAGACCCAGGACACGCTGGAAGGAATATGTCTCTCAGCTGGCCTAGGAATGCCTCAGGGTCCCCCCAGAGGAGCTGGAGGAAGTGTCTGGGGTGAGGAAGTCTGGGAGTCCCTGCTCAGACTGCTGCCTCCGGGACCCAGCCCAGAATAAGTGGAAGAAAATGGATGGATGTATGATCTTCTTAGGCTACATCCACATGACAACATGTCCACACACGTGTCAGATGTGTCAATAAATGTGTCAATAAATGTTCACGTCCACACGACAATGGAGCAGTGAGTGAAAACGATGTAATACATCTGCCACATTTATATGTAGTGCTGTAAACAGGCAGAGTGCAAGTGCATAAAGTCCTTCCAGCGTGGGGTTCTCTTCTGGTCATGTGGCGATGACGGACTCGCAATGTCACCGTTTTCCAAAAGCTGCGGTTTGCTTCTCCACACGACAATGCAACGTCGGCGTTCTCACATTTCTCCACTTTGGAAACCGTTTTCAAAAAACACAGTTTTCACCCACCTGAAAAGCCTGGCTCCGTGTGGACGAAAGATCAAAACTAATAAAAACGTCACAGTTTCAACCAACAAATGTTGTCATGTGGTCACCCCCTTAGTGTGTAATTGTTTACCATCATCATAACCCAGAGTTATGCGTTGATTGATCCCTGTATTGTCAAGTGTTTGAGTTTTGAGCTCAGCACAAAAAAAACTTTTTTTCATTTTCAGACACAAAGTCAGATCACTGGTCTGGGCAAATTCTCTTGTAGTGTGCTGCGGCCTTTAGCTGAGAACAGTTTGTGAGTAGAAAGCTAAAACTTGTGATCTGAGCACTGAGACACTTTCCATAATATAAAATACTAAGAGGAACCGTACCCTGGAGAGTATTTTGGTGACCACCTGCCCCACGTCCTCTCTCCACTCTGGGATGTTTGGGTTGAAGTGGTCCAGGTTTCTGCTGAAGCTCAGAGGGATCACCTGGAAGTTTTCTGAAACAGGACACAGAAGAGAAGACTTAAAGTATGACTACTGCAGTTAACAAGTACTATTACTGCTTTACAGAAGTGAAGTTACCATAGACTCGGACTATCTTTGTGTCTTGAACCATAGAGCGACCGTTGGAGGCCTGGACCGTGACCGACACCTCCCCAGGCTCAGAGAAGCGAGTGAGCAGGCTGTTCTGCAGGGTCAGGGTGGGCTGCAGAGACGAAACAAAACATAAACATGAAGAATTACTGTGTTATAAAGTCTAGTTAGAAAATAAAGCCACAAAAATTAAGAGTGCCTGTGAAGTTGCAGATAAATTATTGAGGCATCTAAATAAGAAATCATGTCATGGTTATGTGTGAAAAGAAACAAAACAAAACAAAAAAGCAATGTATAACACAATTAATGAAGACTACAATTAATCTCAAATACAGATATTATTACAGATATATATTTCTTGGCCAACTTGATTAAAAAAAGTTGTGACTGCAGTCCATCTAAACTAAAATGTGCCAGGTTTAGGTTGAGATATTACTCAATAAATGAATGGACAGTATATTTAAACCACAGAGTACAGAAATATCACTGTATAATTATTATTTTTTTTAGACACAGGCCTCAGTATTTATATTTTGCATATCTTCAAAACAACAATTTTGATATTTTGATAAATGGAAATCCTCTTATATGAAGTTATGTGTATTTAAAAATAGATTGAAAGTGGATATTACAAAAGAATCTGTGTATCATTCCTTCATTAGTTTTTCAAAATAAAACCAAAAATAAGAAAATGAAAAAACAACTATTTTCTTCATTATTTGTCTCCAGTACCAAAATGAAAAAAATAAAATAAAATAAAGGATAACGATTAGTTTTTTCAGTTTTCAATTTTGTGTCTAAATGAATAATGGAAAAAACAGATAACGGACGTTTCCTGTTTCCGTGACTTAAACTGCGATGCCGGACAGAACAGGATGAACCTGACAGAACAGGTCTGAACCAGGACTGAACCAGGACTGAACCAGGACAGAACCAGGACTGAACCAGAACCAGAACAGGACAGAACCAGGAAGAACCAGGACTGAACCAGGACTGAACCAGGACTGAACCAGGACTGAACCAGGACTGAACCAGGACTGAACCAGGACATGAACAGGACTGAAACCAGGACTGAACAGGACTGAACCAGGACAGCCAGGACTGAACCATGGAACCAGGACAGAACCAGGACTGAACCAGGACAGAACCAGGACAGAAACAGGACTGAACAGGACTGAAGGACTGACCAGGTGAACCAGGACTGAACCAGGACAGAACCAGGACTGAACCAGGTCTGAACAGACAGGAACAGGATGAACCAGGACTGAACCAGGACTGAACCAGGACTGAACAGGAACAGGACTGGACTGAACCAGGACTGAACAGGAACCAGGACTGAACCAGGACTGAACCAGACAGAAAACCAGGTCTGAACCAGGACTGAACCAGGACAGAGGACTGAACAGGACTGAAGGACTGAACAGAACCAGACACGGGACTGAACCTGGGACTGAACCAGGACTGAACCAGGTCTGAACCAGGACTGAACCAACTGAACAGGACTGAACCAGGACTGAACCAGGACTGAACCAGGACTGAACCAGGGAACCAGATAACCAGGACAGAACCAGGACTGACTGAACCAGGACTGAACCAGACAGAACCAACCAGGAGGACAGGACAGAACCAGGACTGAGGACCAGAACCAGGACTGAACACACTGAACCAGGACTGAACCAGGACTGACCAGACCAGACAAACAGGACTGACAGGAGAACCAGGACAGAACCAGGACTGAACCAGGACTGACAGGACTGAGAACCAGGACACTGACAGGACTGAACCAGACTGACCAGTCTGAACCAGGACTGAACCAGGACTGAACCAGGACTGAGGACTGAACCAGGACTGAACCAGGACAGAACCAGGACAGAACCAGGACAGAACCAGGACTGAACCAGGAACCAGGACAGACCAGGACTGAACCAGGACTGAACCAGGACTGAACCAGGACTGAACCAGGACTGAACCAGGACTGAACCAGGACTGAACCAGGACTGAACCAGGACTGAACCAGGACAGAGAGTCGGGACGGGCCCAGAGGTGCGCCCGCATAGACTGTTGGATGATCAGAACTGAGACCGGGACAAGACTGGGAGTGAGACCAGGACTGAGATTGGGATCCGATCGGAAACTGGGACTGAGACCAGGATCAGACCGGGACCAGGACCAGGACTAAGACCGAGACTGAGACCAGGACTGAGACTGGTTTAGTCCTGGTTCAGTCCATATACGGCACAAAAGTCCGGCATTGCATTTAAAGTCAAGGAAACGGGAAACGGCTGTCATCCGTTTTTTCCATTATTCATTTAAATCCAAAATCAAACTGTTTTTTCATTTTGGTTTTGGAGAGAAATAATGAAGTAAATAGTTGTTTTTTCGTTTTCTTATTTTTGGTTTTATTTTGAAAAATGAATGAACGAATGATACGCGGATTCAAAACCTTAAAATATAAATAGTGTATGTCTTTACCTGCATGTTGTCTCCTATCCACCAGTAGAAAACAGTGAGATTAGCCTCAGAGGGGAGCACAGCAGCAGATACATTGACCTCCTGGTTAACTCCAGCGATGGGGACCACCTCCAGATGCACCTCCTGCAGCGGAGCTACACAAACATGCACACTCAGTTTACATTTACCACAGAACGGAATAATGTTCTTGACTGAAAAGGAAATACTTCTCAGTCTGTGGTCCATGTACCATTTGCTCTTTTGAATTTCAATTAAGAATGAAAAACAATAAAATGGGAAAACAGTTTTAGTTTTATTTCGTTTTAGTGTCAAATAAAAAAAAACAGATTTTGACCTCTTTTTTCAATATTTAATTTAAAGTTTATTTCAAATAACACCAATCAAAAAACAGTCATTGTGCCTATTTTACATTTGATATTTTATTCTCTCTGGTTTATTTGCCCCGGAAGTTCTGCTGTGTTACAAACCAGTGCTAGAGACAAAGGAGAGTAACACAAACAAGATTTTATGTAATATTAAGTGGCTTTTATAAAGTAAATGTAAGTTTGTACAATAACAAAAAAAGTGTTTTACTTGAGATTAATCGAAAAATTCCCAATACAACGAAACAATAAGAAAATACAAATGCCCAAAGGCCGAACCAAACTGAGGATTACACAAGGACACCCCACCAGTCAGGTGGCAGGTACCACACAGGACATGCAAGTACAGAAGGCACAAGTGGTAAAACAAACGGGAAGCGCCGGGTGAGGCAGAGCCAGGCCGCAAGCCGTAACATGCTGCTTATTGCGCCGTGTCTGAAATCAGTGTCAGCAGAACAAAGGAGAGTTTATCGCTGCTTCCTGTTTCTAATCATGGAGTCCAACAGTGACTTTCTAAGACGCAAAAAGAAATGTGTCGCTAAAAAACGAAGAGGAGATGTTTGTCCACAAAACTGCAACAATTTTTCAGGTAAGTTCAGAATAACTTCCGGGGCAAATAATAATGACTATCGTCCTGTGGCATTAACATCTATAGTCATGAAATGTCTGGAAAGGCTAGTGATGACACATATAAAGGGCATAATTGACATCAGTGTGGGTTCTCATCACTATGCATACAGGGAGAATCGGTCTACATCTGACGCAGTGGCGGCTGTTGTCCATCAGGCCCTCACCCACCTGGAGAAGCGGGACACATATGTCCGACTTCTCTTCCTGGACTTTAGCTCGGCATTCAATACCATCATACCACAGACCCTGATAAACAAACTGCAATTGCTTGGACTCCAAACATCACTCTGCAATTGGGTGCTGGACTTTCTTACTAACAGGGAGCAGACTGTTAGGATTAATGGCTGCTTCTCCTCACCAACCACTCTCAACACCCCCCCTGCCCAATGGTCCTGTGCTCCTGACCCGACCTGTCAGATTGTTAAATTTGCAGATGACACTGCTGTTGTGGGTTTAATTTAATCTCGGAAAACAACGAGCAGGCATACAGACAGGAGGTACAGCTGTTGGAGACCTGGTGCAGAGAGAACAACCTCTGTCTGAACCTTTCAGAAACAAAAGAATTAATAGTGGATTTTAGGAGGAACAGCTGTTCACTGTCGCCTCTCTACATCATGGGCACAGAAGTTGAAAGGGTGTCCGGCTGGAAATACCTGCGTCTGCACATCACCGACAGACTCACTTGGTCCACTAATGCAGCTGGCATTGTTAAGAAGGCCCACCAGCGTCTGTATTTTTTGAGGAGACTCAAGGCTGCTGGACTAGGCCTTCCTGCTCTCATGTCTTTTTATCGATGTGGAGTGGAAAGTGTGTTGACCCAGTCCATCACAGTGTGGTACGGCCACTGCTCAGCCCAGGACAGGACAGATCTACAGCTTGTGGTCAGAGCAGCAGAGAAGATCACTGGATGTGACTTTACACCCATCTGTGAAATTTATGAGGAGCGTTGTAGAAGACGGGCCTCCAGGATCATGGGGGACCCCTCGCACCCTCCCACCATCTGTTTGTTCCTCTGCCTCTGGGAGGAGACTGAGGAGCATTAAAGCTAGAACTTCTCGGCTGAAGTTCAGCTTCTTTCCTGAGGCTGTCAGACTTGTGAACAGTGCACACTGACTTCCTGCTTTGGTTGCCTCTCTCTCTGTCTTGCCACGTTTTACTACTTGTTCATTGGAACTGCTAAATGTTGTTGTTTTAAATGTATTTATTTTTTAACATTGCTTATTATTATTGTTTTTTGTTTTTTTTATCTCTTTCTGGATCACTGGGCCTCGGTGAGCACATTTCGTTCTGTCATGTGTTTCTCTCGCATGTTTGAATGACAAAATAAAGAACCTTGAACCTTGAACCTTGAAATAAACCAGAGAGAATAAAATGTCAAAATTTAAATAGATATGGTGACTGTTTTTTGAGTGGTGTTATTTGAAATAAACTTTAAATTAAATATTGGAAATAGAGGTCGAAACCTGTTTTTTTGTTTGACACTAAAACGGAATAATTAAATAACAAACTGTTTTGCCGTTTTACTGTTTTTCATTCTTAATTGAAATTCAAAAGAACGAATGTTACACAGACCCTTCTTAATCAAACTGTTTCCTTGAGATAGTTAGGAAAATATCAACATTTGTTTAGCTTTCATTAATGGAGCACTATATCATTTCATGGTGGAGAGTCTATCAGCTGCCACCACCTGTTTTACATACATGCATACATACATACATACATGCATACATACATGCATACATACATACATGCATGCATACATACATACATACATACATACATACATACATACATACATACATACATACATACATACATACATACATACATACATACATGCATACATACATACATACATACATACATACATACATACATACATACATACATACATACATACATACATACATACATACATGCTACATACATACACATACATGCATACATACATACTACATGACATACATACATACATACATACATACATGACATACATACATACACATACATACATGCATACATACATACATACATGCATACATACATACATACATACATACATGTACATACATACATACATACATGTACATACATACATACATACATACATACATACATACATACATGCATACATACATACATACATACATACATACATACATATACATACATACATACATACATACATACATACATACATACATACATACATACATACACATGCATGACATACACACATACATACATACATACATACATACATACATACATACATGCATACATACATATACATACATACATACATACATACAACATACATAATACATGCATACATATAATACATACAATCACTGCATACATACATACATACATACAATACATATCAGCACTACCAAAGGCATCCAATCATTCCATCCTAACATAATCCTGATACAATATAATAGTAAATGTGTCTTACCTACCTGTGACCTGGATGTACATGGTGGCCCGTGCGTGTCCGGCCATGTTCTCCGCCTTCACGCTGACCCTGTAGACCCCGGGGCTCTCGTAGCGGTGCTGGATGGGCTCGTCTGTCACGGTCAGGTTCTGGTAAATGGCTCTCACCCCGTCTCCAAGATCCACCTGATACTTAGTGCTGCTGGTGTCGCCCTGAACAGTTAAAAACAACTTCACTACTTAGTGCCTAGTAGAGTTGCCTAATACATTTCTACTTCGAGACTTTGTGAAAACATGAGGGAATACTTATAAATCAAATATTAATAAAATTTTTCTACTCCAAAAGAAGGTTATCAGGATTATTAATCATACTAATTACTACGCACCAACAAATCCTCTATTTGTAAAGCTAAAAGTACTTAAGTTTTTTGATCTTGTTGATGTACAAGGCCTATAAATCATCTGCTTCCTTCTTGTGTACAGGAGTTATTCGAGCAGAGAGAGATTCAGTATAATCTTAGAAGAACAAGCATCTTTAAAAAAAAAAAATGAAGATAAGAACTAAGAAAAAAAGTGATTGTTTTTCTGTTAGAGGAGTTAATGTATGGAACAACCTGAGTGATCATTTTAAAAAGTCTAACAAAGAGTATAAAGCATAATGTTTTGAAAGATATAGAGCCCTGAAATGAATGAATTATACGTGAAATTTAGTTTGTTTTCATTTATATTTTGTCTCTTATATTTACAGTAAGTCGTAAGTGAAATTGCAAATACAAACTTGTTGTTCATACGCTGCTTTTCTTTCTTGGAATTCTGTCATTGTTTAATCGGGTCAGGCATTATACCGTATTTTCCGGACTATTAAGCGCACCTGAGTATTCGCCGCATCAACAAACATTTTAACAACATTTTAAATTGTACATATATAGGCCGCACCTGAAAATAAGTGTCCACGTCTTCAAGAACGTTTTCAAGTTCTGTTTTTATCGCCTCTGAAAGTTTTTGTCGTCTTTTTGCGTTGAGTTAGTTCGTCATGCTGCTGTCGCCAAAATCTCACCATCGACTCATTGATGCGAGCTCACGCAGCAGCTTGATTTTCTTCTTCACCACTTCCACAGCAACATCAATCGCCTTTAACTTAAAAGCTGCATCATTTGTATTTCTTCGAGTGTTTTCCATGAGGAGGGTGTGTGTATGAAGCGCAAAATAACTGTTCAAAACACAATCAAACGAGCATCTTCCTCAACGCTTCACCCCCGTCTCTCCTCATGCTCTACTGCGCATGTCTCCTTCAGAAAGAGTCTCTGTTCTGTCTGTATCATGTCAGCGTCTTGGAGGATTTCAGCAGATTTCAGACTCTCTCGGGGGCGGGGCTAGTTCTATCAATCAGGTATGAGTAGATGTTCGGCTACTGAAGTTTGAGATGTTTCTTCTTGTCATTTACACACACGGGTAAGACGTATCCCCCTCACTAATGTTCATTTAGCGTCATAACTTATTTTATCACACGACGATAAACTGTTGGAGTGAGCTGACAATATCACGAGCTCACGTGAACCCTAGATTCATGTATAAACCGCACAGACAGCTGCGTTTTCTGCACTCAGGCTGCACGTATCTGCAGTGTTACCAAACCATAGACCGTAAATATGAATGAACAATGTGCCAAACAAATAATCCCTCCATATATTAAACACATCGTTTTATTAGCTGCAGGGTTCAAAGTTCAAAGCCTAAACTCTTTCGGTCATGATCCATGAGGTTGTAGTCTATGTTTTGTTTTGTTTTGTTTTGTAGTGCTGCAAAATGACCCAATAAACTACTACTAAACTACTACTACTTCTAAAGAGTCACCAGCTGTTTCCTCTCAGTTGACTTATTCCTAACTGTTATTCAGCTCCTAATTAAAACACACACATTAACTCGTAAAAAAAAAACCCCAAAAACTAACCTGTTCTTGATGGACGATGAAGGTGATGTCGTCTCCGGGCGCCACAGCTAACATCTGCCCTTTAATGCCCAGCTGCAGTCCTTTAGGGGGCAGCAGAGGGCACAGGTGCTGCTTGGAGCTCTGCTGTTTGTTTATGCCTCCCTCACAGGAGTTAGAGATCACCTTCCTGTACCTGAAGCATCATCGCAAACAGTTTTTTTAGTTATATACAGTAATGTTATGTTATGTCTGTGCTGATAGTCGATAAACCGACCCAGTGCTGGACTCGTAACTCCGCCCCAGATGACAGTCGTCTGGAGGGGCATCAGGATCAAACCAGAAGTCGGCAAAACACCTGTGGCCTTCGGTCTGGGAGCGCTCGAAACCATAGTCACTGGACACAGAAACATGTAAACTCATTAACTGCCCAAAATCAGGAGTAGTTTTGAAACATGTGCTTTTATTTTATCATATGAAAAACATATATCCCGAACTTTTTTGCAGTCTATTGTTTTGTGAAGTCAGAAGTGTTCTAGTCAAATATCTAGAGTTTCAGAAGTCAGGTTAACCCAGATGAACACTAGGCTGGTCCAAAAATGTCTCTTTTAGATTCTTCAGTTTAAAGCCCTCTATTTCATTCTATATCTGGCCAAAATATTTGGATCCAAATTCTATGCAAATTAAGTAATATGTAGAAGTTGCTCAAGACACTTGAAAATTGCCCTATAAGGCCTACACTATAAGATAACCAACTAAATAAACAAGGCATATTTGAATAATATGCCATTTTATTCTGCAAACACAAACTGAAACTTGCATAAAAATACTTAGAAAGTCCATAGAAGTTGCTTAGAAAGTCCAGCTCCACTGTGGGTTTGTTGGCATCACAAAAGATGTGCCTGTGTTCTTTGATAACCTGCAGTACATCCTGTTTCTGATCTTCATTCTTTGTTCGGCTACAGTTAAAATCTTGAATAGGCTTGACCTCCTTTCAGCAACATTATTGACAGCTTTCCTGGAATGCACAGTTTTAGCAGATTATGAAAGTCTGCATCATCAGCCCGGTCTGCTGCTGGGGAACTGTTCAAAATGTTTTTGGCAGATCAAGAGCTTTGAAGAAACACATAGCGCTGGTGGTGACAAAATCACTGATCTGCTTCCCTTCATAATCTGCTTGATTAAGGGCATCACGTCGCTTTGTGAAACCTCTGAACCCTCCTTTTCCATAATATTGTGAAACATCAGCTTCTTCTGTTCTTCTGTCACACTGGAGTCAAAGAATTCCAGGTCAAACATTTCTTTACTCAAGTACCAAAGATGTCGGTCGAAAGCTGTTAAGGCTGCTTTCTTGACAACTGAATTTTCATACTGTGACAGCTTCTTAAGGAAGGAAGAAATAAACTTGAGGAAAAAACTTCAAAACTTCATACAGAAACTTCATGCAGGTTGAGCAACCTCGAAAACATCAAATTTTTCTTCCTAAATCATCTTTTGGATGCCAAAACCTAATGCAGGGTTCTAATCGAGGTTATCTGAAACTTTATTTTAGGCCATGCTTTGATGGACCACCCTACTGAATACTTTCATATTTGGAAAAGTATAGGTCCTAGGATCGACCCTTGAGGCACACCACATCTACTTAAAATGTAAAGCTGTTGGATTCTCACCAGTTGAAGTCTCTCTCTGTGCACTGACACGGTTTAGTGCTCAAAGCCGACGTGTAGCTCTTCCCTTTGATACAGAAAGACGTCTCCTTTCTCTTCCTGAAGCTCCTCTCTTGTCCCATGATGCATTTCTCCCCCTGTAATTAACAACAGCTCAGTCATTTATGTTATTTTCATTTGTCTGTTATGTTTTTGTTAAAGTTGTTTTACGTGTAGGTCGGTGAGCTGCCAGGACTCGTAGTCTTCCTCTGTGCACTGTCGCGGGAACGACTGTCTGAAGTCCACTTTGACAAGCTCCCAGTCCGAGCGGTAACTGATGTGACCAAACACCCTAAAAACAAAACAACCTTTAAAATTTACTGTATATATTTCCAAGTACATTTTATCTTGGTGCATTATTGCAGGTTTAAATCTTTTCCCTTAGACGAGGACTCAGAATTATACAGCAAGTTTCTCTTGGGTCTTTTGGATCATGTAAACTTCCAAATGTTCATCACACAAAAATGACAAGAGAAAATGTAGTAGTAAAAGTAGTAAAAGTAGTAGTTGTAGTAGTGGTAGTAATAGCAGCAGCAGTAATAGTAATAGTGTTAGTAGTAGTAGTCAAAGTATTAGCAGTACTAGTAGTAGTAGTAGTGGTAGTAGTAGTAGTAGCAGCAGTAATAGTAGTAGCAGTAGTAACGGTAGTAGTAACAGTAGAAGTAGTAGTAGTAGTAAGTAGTAGCAGTAAAAGTGGTAGTAGTAATAGTAGTAGCAGCAGTAATAGTAGTAGCAGTAGTAACAGTAGTAGTAATAGTGGTATTAGTAGTAGTAGTAGTAGCAGCAGCAGTAGTATTAGTATTAGTAGTAGTGGTAAAAGCAGTAGTAGTAGTAGTAGTAGCAGCAGCAGTAGTAGTAGTAAAAGTGGTGGTAGTAGTAGTAATAGTAGTAAGAGTGGTAGTAGTAGTACTAGCAGTTCTAGTAGTAGTACTAGTAGTAGTAGTAGTAGTAATAGCAGTAGTAGTAGTAGTAATAGCAGTAGTAGTAGTAGCAGTAAAAGTAGTACTAGTTTTAGTAGTAGTAATAGCAGCAACATAAGTAGTAGTAATAAAAGTAGTAGTAGTAGTACTAGAAGTAGTAGTAGTAGTAGTAGTAATAGCAGCAGCATCATTCGTAGTAGTAGTAGTAGTAAAAGTAGTAGTAGTAGAACCAGAAGTAGTAGTAGTAGTAGTAATAGCACCGGCATCAGTAGTAGTAGTAGTAAAAGTAGTAGTAGTAGTACTAGAAGTAGTAGCAGTAGTAGTAGTAAAAGTAGTAGTAGTAGAACCAGAAGTAGTAGTAGTAGTAGTAGTAATAGCAGCAGTATCAGTCGTAGTAGTAGTAGTAGTAGTAAAAGTAGTAGTAGTAGAACCAGAAGTAGTAGTAGTAGTAGTAGTAATAGCAGCAGCATCAGTCGTAGTAGTAGTAAAAGTAGTAGTACTAGTACTAGAAGTAGTAGTAGTAGTAAAAGTAGAAATAGGTGGAGGATCTGCCTGTCACCTGGAGATGTTTTTGCTTTAACGGAGATGTTTTGTAGTTTGGCAACAGACTTATTTATCTCCTTGAAAAGCAAGTTACAGGTCAGATCTGCGGAGAGGCAAGACCACTCGCATGCATGATTTTCAAGAGTTCTCCTTATTTATGAATACATTTCTGAAGTAGAATAAAATAAAAAAATGTAACTGATTAAATGCTAAATATTTTAATGCCGTACTGTGGAAGATTCCTGGGAGAGCTATAACATCTCAATGAAGACAAGACGCTTTAACCCCCGACCAGAAAGTTCCACAGTGAACCTTTAATCATAGTGACAGTGTCTGAAATCCAAAAGCCAGGGAGAGGTCTAATCTTTCAGAGCAGGACACACCTGTCAGCGATGATACATAGACCTCGTGTGTGTGCGTGTGTGTGTGTGTGTGTGTGTGTGTGTGTGCGTGTGAGGAAGAGGATTACTGCTCGGAGTATCTTATCTGAGGAAACGCTGGTGGGAAAGGAAGAGACTTATCCAGCTCCTCCCTGTCTGTTAAACTGGCACAAACGGACTTCAGAAGGTTTAGTCCAAAAATGAAGGAATTATAAAAAAAAAAACGCTCTAAAAATATATCACACATATATTTTTAAAGGTTATTTAATATACAGGGATTTGGGGATTTTAACCCGTTTACCCACATGCACACGCAAAGAAAATCTTAAATATAAAAACGTGGACGTCTTTCCCGCTTTTATCCACTAGATGGCAGCAAAGATTTAAAATACAACAGCAAAGTCTTGATCACATGTTCAAGTAAAAAAGATGACTTGACGTTAAAATATGTAAATACTCAAGCCAAAAGGAGTATATTTCCTAATAAAATATATAGTTAAAGCCACACTATGTAATTTTTAAGCCAAAAAATCTGAAAAAATAGCATTGATTTTATTTTAGTTTTGTGTATTGCATTAAAAAACATGTGTCTTTACATGCATCTCCAGAAACCTAATTATTTAGCCTGGAGGAAGGACTTTTCTAGGCTATAATATTTCATGATATGGCATAAAAATACAAAATTCCTATGGAAAATGTTCCCAAGTGTAGTTTTAACATTCTTTTTCCATGGAAACATGCAGGGGACATGCCAAATCCAGAAAGTTACATCCTGTACCTTTAGTAATGTTAAAGTATAAGTATATAAATTCATATCTCATTTGGTTTTGAAGCTATAAAGTCAAATATTAGTTTTATTCTTTATTAGGGCTGGGTATCATAAAGAAGTTGCCGATACGATACATATCTCAATACAGTGAGCTTTCGATTTGATACAATATATTTAAAATAGGTTCGATACTAGGGGTGTAACGATATCCAAGTCTCATGATACGATATCGTCACGGTATGAACGTCACGGTATCGATATCGTGGGAAAGATCAGGATATGGTGGGAAGCTCACGATTAGAGATGTAACGGTATCCAAATCTTTGACAATATTTACGCAATATTTTCAGGATATAGATCTCACGGTACGATATTTACACAATTGTGGCGAGCAAACAAAACTGCAGCATATGTTACTTTTCCTCTTAAAATGCCTTGACAAGACTTAATCTAAAGAACTAAGACTTAAAGGTTGTATGGAGGATTTATTTTTTGTTTCAAACTGTCAGTCAAAGATTAAAATACCATTTCAGAGACGCAGCAGCTTTGTAATTATGATGACCAAAAAAAAAAAAGAACGAAAATCTATCAACTGTGGACGTGTTGAGGCCAGATAAACATCAGCCAATAGAAAACGAGGCTCCCTCATTTTCTATTGGCTGTTAGGTTGTCAATCAAACTCCCTAGTGTAACTGATTCGTCGGAGCGCGGGGATCACGTGGTTTATGCAGAGATTCTTAGAGGCTTTTTCGAACTGTCGCTTCCTCGCATTTTACACAAAGTTTGTTGAGACGGCGGACGAGAATCCACGATTGGTTCGCCGCAAAAGAAAGACCGTTTTTGAGGTCGCTGAAAGAAGAAGAGAAGGGGAAAAGGAGCAAAGCCAAACTGAGGTGATTCTTGGAGATCTCGTAAAGCGATGGCGCGACCGAAGCAGGCGAAGGGTCTAAAAACTGACACGTCGGTCGATGAATTACTTCTAGACAGGAAACTTCAACACTAATTCTGAATGCGCACAAGGACTGTCGCTGTATTTCTCTTCCCTTAAAAAAATCCTCTATACAACCTTTAAAAGTGTTATTTCTTCTTGTAGTCTGCACTGAAATGGAGCAAAGGATCATGGTCTGTGTAGTTCCCTCTGTCTTTTATTTTTAGCTATTGCTGCACCATAACAAAAATATTATTGTGAGAACTTGTGAGAACTTTGGAGATACGATATCACGATATTTTGATTATTGTTACATCCTTACTCATGTGATTTTGCAGCTATAAACTCAAATATTATTTTTATTCTTTATTAGGGCTGAGTATCATTAAGAAGTTGCCGATACGATACATATCTCGATACAGTGAGCTTTTGATTCGATACAATATATTTTAAATCGATTCGATACAGTTCAGTAAAAATAAAGGTTAAATCATGGCTGTAACAATAAAAGTCTTTGTTAAACCACTTCTTGTGAAAAGTTCATATGAAACACACTGATTTCACTCACCAAAACAGTGAAAATATCAAGTGTGTTGCATAAAAGAGTTTCCTTCCTCTAAAAAAGCAACAAAACTGTAGCTCTGTAAAAAAACAATTTGGTAAAATACACCAAAAAATACTCTTGGTGACATCAAAATAAAGGATACGATAAATCAATATTTCAATATTTTTGCACACCCATTCTTCAATTATTATTATTATTATTAATTATTCAGACACAAATATTATTCAGTCCATAATTTAAAACAGGGGTCTCCAAACTTTTTCGTCTGCTGAGCTACGTTTACAAAATGAAAATGCGAGAGAGCGACTAATTTTAGTGGTCGCAAGAAATGAGAACGGATAAATTTGCGAAACATGGCGAGTCTTAGATGGGGTACAGTTAGAAGTTTATAAAACATAAACCATTATCCATTCATTAGTACACAAATTAGTAGGTTTGTAACGATATCCAGGCCTCATGATACGATATCATCACGGTATGAATCTCACAGTATGATATTTACTACGATATCGTGGGAAAGCTCAGGATATGGTAGGGATGTAAAAATATCCAAATCTCTCATTACGATATTTATTGTGATATTTTGAGTAACAAAACTGTTAATTTGCTACTTTTTCCTCTTAAAATGCCTTGACAAGACTTAATAAAAAAAATTGATTAAAAGTGTTTAGAACTGTTCTTTCTTCTTGTAGTCTGCACTGAAATGGAGCAAAGGATCATGGTCTATGTAGTTCCTTTGGTCTATTGCTGCACCGTAACTCTTAATTTAAGCAAAGACACTTGTAATTCGATATGTTGTGATGGTCCACGATATTATTGTGAGGACTTTGACGATACGATATCACGATATTTCGATTATTGTTACGTCCCTAGAAGTTAGGCATCAAAATAATCAGAGTTTAGTTATTAAGCACAATATTTATAATTCAGAAATCCCTTGGCGAGATACTTGGAAAGAGCTACAGGTTGGAAACTCCTGGTTGAAAAGAAAAACTGCAAAAAAAAAACCATACAAAGCACCCAAATTAGTCCATAATAGATCGATTTTTGTAAATATATTTGTGACTCCCTTGCCTCTCACAACCTTTTGATTACTCTAACAATATTGACAAATCTAAAGAAGCTTTTCTGTTTGATCAAATGTCAGGGCGCGACTCCCTCTAACAACACGTATGAATTACTGCGGT